CCAGAGAATGTAAAAACGGGCATCTTGATCATCATCACCTCCTTGAAGGAAATCATCAGCCAAGGGCGCATCATCGTCATCGTCATCATCTGAAATATCAGAAGCATCACCAAAATCAGATACTTCCTCATCCCCATCCAATAAGACTTCTGCTGCTTCAAATTGTTCTTCTTCACTCTGTTCATCCGAAACATCATCGAAGACCTCATCTTTTTTGGTGGGTCGTTTCTTTTCAGCGAAAAGATTGCTCCTTTGCTTCTTTTTTGGAGGTTGGTTCTTCGATTTTGCTCCTTCGTTCTTATTAGCCGCCATTTGAAGCAAAAAAGAAAAAGGAAACACGCGGACAGAGCAGAGCTTAAACTCTCCTACAAAAGAGCAACTTTCGAAGTTTTGCCTCAAAATCAGGGTTTTGCAGTTTTGAAGCCTCCCTAGGGTTTAAGCGTCGAAGCAGACGACCTCTCTTTTTGGGCTGAATTTGGGTCAGCCTATGAGTTTGGGTTTTCAAAGAAGTATTTATAGTTTCGGTGCAACTACCCCTTAAATATTTTTACCGTAAAGTATGGCTATTTCTCATCTATTCATTTTAAATATTTAATGGCTTAAGTACTATTGATCATTGTAAAATTGCAAACAAAATGATGATTAAGAGACCTATTCTAGATTCAAGTACTACATATGGATATGACCATTTATTATCAAATAATTAAAAATAAATAAATAAATATTATTTTATTCCGAAATTTATAAAAAATATAAAACTTAATAACTATAAAAAATTAAAATTCTTTCGTAAGATCATTAAAGATGTTATCGTATTTAAAATTAAATATTAATTTATCAATCAATAATCATTTAGTCCAATGAGATGAAATATTAAATACTTAAAGTAAAGCAAGATCAAATATTAGAACTTTGATGTTGTAAATGAAACTCTAAGATTGGGAGTCACCCCATAATAAACATTTGGGGTATACAATATAAATTAATTATTCAATAAATTAGATATTAGTATTATCTTTTTTATAAAAAGAATTTATGTATACTTTTATTAGAAAATAAATACAAAACATAGACGAACAATACGTGCCTCATTGAAAACCTCTCTAAACTTAAGAAGAGGAAAAAGAATGTACCATAAGTGTCAACGCAATAAGAGAAAACAGACTTCAAGAAAGAAGAGTCAGGGTAATTAGGGAGCATCAAAATTCAAAAAGGAATGATCGATGCATGGAGTGTCAGACTTCGTGGAGAAAGAAAGACTGAAGCATTTTAGAGTAAATGCAACAGAAAGGGAGGTACACCTCGAACACAATTCTAATGTTTATGAGTTTGATTTGTCATCTTTGATGAGTATAGATATGGATAAACCTAACCATCTGTGTGGAGGGCCAAAGGTTTGAGGGATAATATTAAGCCTTCGCCAAAATGACAAGGAAGTTTAAGTAGAGGTAATCAAAGTTGATAAGAGAAGGCTCCTACGGGGGAGATGTTCTCAAAGACGATATCACTTGGATGCGAGAGCCAAAGCATAGCCTATATGGGAAGACCAAATCCCTATGGGAGACGTAAGCAAGACGAGGCATCGAACATTGATGTTAGAGCGTTATACAACTCAAAAACCTGAATATAAATCCAACAGCTCAAACAATTAACTCCTTTCAAAACTCCAAAGAAAGGCCCAAGGAATAGCACAATAACACAATGGACACCACAAGCCTATCCAAGAACATAAATTTTCTTGGCCTTCTAACAGTTAACCTTACCCAAACACCTGGCAGCAACAATTAACTTAAAAGAAAATCATTTTTACAAATCCAAACAATACAAAGAAAATCATTTTCCAAATTAACTTAAAAGATCTATGAACCGGTAGGTTATTCCACACGATAAGTAGAGATTTACAGTTACCTGGAACGATAATATTTAAGATTCCACAACCCACACCATCTCTGTCAAGCACTCCACACTACCTCGCAATGGCAAAATTGATTGATCGACTGAGGATCCTTAAGGCACATGAAACAAACTAACCCCCAAAAATAGTCCTTCTCAGATCTTAAGTCTGATACGAACGAACAGAAAACATTAGGAGAATATAGCCTATTGAATGATCCATTCTAAAGCAGTCGATCCGATTCAAAAGATCCACTCGTAATTCTATTAATTACGAACATGAATTCATCCCAAATACGAACCTCCTAATCACACAGGATTCTTCTAATCTCAATATTCTAGACACACACCCCATTAAGTTTTGCTCCCAAGTCTCTCACCTTACCGATCTTCTTGACAGCAACCCCAAAAATCCGCAGAGAAGTCGCTTTTAAGGACGAGACTTTGGTCTAGAATCCTCTCAGAAATCAATACACCTCCATCACCCACCACGCAGGAAAGATTATTTGAGAAGGGGTCTTCGATCTTAAGCAAAGGATGAGCAATATATCTCCACACCCCTGAATTTTTTTCTCAAATTTCTAGTGCTAGGAATCAACGAGTGACAGTCTAGGCCATACTTAGCATCCACCCTAATGTTGCACGAATTAACTTATTTCGATGGTTAAAAAAATTGTTGTTTCTAAATGTCAACGGTTTGAGCATCAATGGCTACGGTAGGGGTGCTTTAGCGTTTATTTTTCTTTTGTATAAAAAAGTTTAGGTCAGGGGTGATTCCCCCAATCCAGAGTCAGGGCATACCTAAGACTCAATTAGGATTTACATAGGACTTTAAAGATTGCCCACCAAGAGTGACGATGGTGGGATTCGAACTTGTACTTACAAGCTTAAATTCCTGAATCCTAACCACTTGTGCAAACACTCATTGGCAGTGCTTGAGCGTTTATTATCAAATGACTTAGAGTATTTAGAACGTATACTACTTTATAATCACCTTAACTTAATAAAAAATAATTTATAAATCCTTATTTTTTTCAAAAAAAATATAATTATGCAAAAATTGTTAATAAAATATCTTTATTATTCGATTTAATTTTGATTTGAATTTTAAAAATAAATATTATAAAATAATTAAAATTTTCTCTAAAATCAAATCGCATCATCCATCCTAATAGGGAATGGATGTGGACAAAGGATTAAAAATAGGAGGAGAAAAATATAAAGGTGTGTGTAAAAAACAATTGTTAACCTTAAAATTAGGAACAGGTAATCCTTGTGAATCTCATCTAATTTTGATCAAAAGAATCTTCAAAAGAACTAAGATTACCAAACAAAAACGTCTATAAACTGGGATCGTAAGTTTCTGATCTATTAATTGATTAATTTAGATCGAGTACTGCAGAGATGAGAGCAACCTTCTCAATTCGATTGCTCCATTCGCAAACGTTAGAGATTGAACCCCTAACATTGTTTAAAGAATTCAATGCCTCATCTCACTAGAAAAACTGATCGTTAATTATATGAATTATAAATTTTGATTTGATTGTTCCCTCTTCACATATATTTTAAAAATTTTAAAATTTCAATTTCAATTTAAATAATAGTTTTAGATACATTAAGTTTCTCTATTGATTCTTATACAATGCGCAAGTTTCAGATTTTGAGTTTAATTTTTCTATACGGTTGATATATTATTTAAGTAAAGATTAAGGGTTGTTTGTTTGGCTCTGAATAGAATCATTTAGCGCTGAATGGTTCAGCGTGTTTGTTTCTAACTTCTGAATGGAGATTGTGCTGAATGATTCAGTAAAACAGTGCTGAATGATTTAACATCAAAGTACATTCTGAATGATTCAGAGTCATTATCAAACAGCATGTCACATTCAGAGCTAATTCAAACAGAGCCTCTGAATCATTCAGACTATTGAATCATTCAGCTCTTAATCATTTTAAAGTAAACAAACAACCCCTAAATTTAAAATTTAAAATTTAAAGAAAATAAAAATAAAAATTTATCAAATTAGAATAATTTCTATGAAAGTAGTATTGTACTTCTAATATAGTAAGCATATCTGATTAGGTTTTCTGTTATTAACATAATAGAATTACTAAAGTTGAATTTGATTTCGATTTATTATTGTGTATATGTATTTAATATAACTCAGAGTTAATTGTATCACATATCCTCAAAGTATGATCCTCATTTTAAACTGGTACCTAAATTTTCAAATATTTCAATTTCATCCTTAAAAAATGATTATCATTCTAAATTAGTCCTTAAAATTTTGAATATTTCAATTTCAGCCCCAACTATGAAATTCATTCTAAATTAGTCCCCAAACTTTTTGAACATTCTAATTTTATCTCAAACTATACGTATATACTAATCACATTCATTGTTAATAAAATTGTTAAGCCAGGTTATATTATTATATGTTTCAAAAAAAACAAAATTTAGGTTAAATTATGGTTGAAACTAATTTCATATTTGGATGAATTTGGGGATGAAATTGAAATATTCAAAAGTTGGGACCAATTTAGAAAGGGGGTCATAATTTAGGGATAAAATTAGAATGTTCAAAAGTTTGAGGACTAATTTAGAATGATATTGTAGTTTGGGATGAAACTGAAATATTCAAAAGTTTACAGACCACTTTAAAATGAGAATCATAGTTTAGAGACATATGATACAATTAACTCTATAAGTCAAGTCGAATTTTATCTTTATTCCACATATAACAAATTAGTGAAAATTTAAATTATTATATTTAAAAATATATATATAACCGATGAACCTAATCAATCCAAACTACTGTTTTGAATTAAAAAAGAAAATTATGGAGAAGTGGGAATCCAAATTACAGTTGGATACAGTTTCAAAAATGCTATCTTTTTACCCTTAAAATTAGGGATGGATAATTATTGTGATGTATTTTGAGTAGAAAGAATCTTTACAGTTTTAAGTCTCTGTACAGTTACCTTTGTTACACAAAACTAATATGGAAACATTGTTGCTGTAAACAACTAATATTACCAAACTAAAAACAAAAATTCCATCTATAAATTAATGACAAATCAAATCGTAATACGAAAGGCATAATCTTTGTGTTTGTTCATCATCATATCGCCAGAAGCAATGGATGAAGATAATCCAAGGTTCACTATTCCAATCACCTCCGATCCTGTAAGTCATGATTTTTTTCCCTGTCTCTGTGTTTTATTTGTTTGTTCTTGAAGCATTTTGATTTTGATTTTAGTGTTTTTCATGTCGGTTTTATGTTAGTCTTCGTGGTTCGTTTCGGTTCTTGATACATCTTGACTATATGCAATTTTTTATACTAATTCTTTTATTACAATTGTTTTTGATAGATGGTAGAAAAATTTCCAGAATTCATGGAGATTTTAGAGAAATCTTCAAACACTTGTTCATGAAGATATGTGATTGTTGTATTGTGTAAACTGCAAATAAAATTATAATATTGCTACATGTAACGTAAGAGTCGAGAGAAGGAAGAATATTTGCTTAATATATATATATATATATATGTGTTTTTGTGTGTGTTTATATATATATATATATATAAATCTTGATGTACTGCTTTTGGCTCTTGCTAGAGAGGAATGGCGGCAATGGAGGTGGAAGCCAGCAGGGAGAAAATTCAAGCTGCAACCAATGTAGAAGGTAATCTCTTTATGTATGTATGTATGTATGTATGTATGTATGTATGTATGTATGTATGTATGTATGTATGTATGTATGTATGTATGTATGTATGTATGTATGTATGTATGTATGTATGTATGTATGTATGTATGTATGTATGTATGTATGTATGTATGTATGTATGTATGTATGTATGTATGTATGTATGTATGTATGTATGTATGTATGTGTGTCTGTATGTATGTATGTGTGTCTGTGTGTCTGTGTGTGTGTGTGTGTGTGTGTGTGTGTGTGTGTGTGTGTGTGTGTGTGTGTGTGTGTGTGTGTGTGTGTGTGTGTGTGTGTGTGTGTGTGTGTGTGTGTGTGTGTGTGTGTGTGTGTGTGTGTGTGTGTGTGTGTGTGTGTGTGTTTTGCAAATGCTTGAATGTTGCGAACTGCAGTGGTATCTAATGAATTCTGTTGGTATTTTTCTTCCTTTTGCAGAAGATGAAGTGAATGACAATCCCATTGAGCAAGTTAGGCTAACTGTTCCGATTACGGATGATCCGACGGAATCTACTTTGACGTTTCGTACATGGGTTCTTGGCCTACTCTCTTGTTGTGTTTTATCATTCGTGAACCAATTCTTTGCTTTTCGTCAAAATCAGCTCTCGATCTCATCGGTATCGGCCCAGATTGTTGTTCTCCCTTTAGGGAAGCTTATGGCTGCAACTCTGCCAAAAACTAACGTCCGAGTCCCGTTTACGCCATGGTCGTTCTCGTTGAATCCGGGACCGTTCACTATGAAAGAACATGTGCTGATAACCATATTCGCCAACTGTGGAGCTGGTGGTGTTTATGCAGTAAACATCATCACCATTGTTAAGGCCTTTTATCGCAGACCATTGCACCCAGTTGCAGCCATGTTGCTTGCACAAACTACACAGGTACCTTAAAATTTGATTTCATGCTCATTATCATCAGCTATGTCCATGAAAATGACACCAAAAGAACACTTTTTTTATTTCTTTCTTGATGATCTCAGTTGCTTGGATATGGTTGGGCTGGTCTGTTCAGAAAAGTCCTGGTTGACTCACCTTACATGTGGTGGCCAATCACCTTGGTCCAAGTGTCTTTGTTCAGGTACTTCAACTGACAATGATAAGCTAAGTTTCTTTGTTAAATCATTGGAAAATTCTATCAATGTAAATTGCAGGACATTACATGAGAAGGAAAAGAGACCAAAAGGTGGACATACAAGGCTACAATTCTTCATCATGGTTTTCATATCAAGCTTTGCTTACTACATCATACCAGGCTACTTTTTTCAATCGATATCGGCTTTATCCTTTGTTTGTTTGATCTGGAAGGATTCGATCCTTATCCAGCAGATCGGATCCGGCCTCAATGGGTACGGCGTTGGCTCGTTTGGTCTTGACTGGGCCACTGTTGCATCCTTCTTGGGAAGTCCTCTTGCCACACCCTTATTTGCCATATGTAACGTAATGGTTGGGTTTGTCTTGTTTCTCTATGTTCTTATCCCCATTGCATACCAGTTCAACCTATATGAAGCTAGAAAATTTCCCTTGATTTCTTCTCATACTTTCGATGCCGATGGTCAGACTTACAACATTTCTAGAATTCTGAATCAGAAAACGTTTGACATCAATCTTCCCGAATACAACAGTTATAGTAAACTCTATCTGAGTGTCGCATTTGCTTTCCTATACGGGTTGAGCTTTGCAACCCTCTCGGCTACCATTTCCCATGTGTTCCTATTCGAGGGAAAGTAAGCACCTGCAGCAACATATAGCTGTCTTATAGATATGTTATTTGTTTTGGCAATTTGATTTCTTTGCTTTTTTGTTGTAGCACAATCTTGGAAATGTGGAGGAAGACTACGTATGCAACGAAGGATAAATTTAACGATATTCACACGAGGCTAATGAAGAAGAACTATGAAGCAGTCCCCCAATGGTGGTTCATTGTTATCTTGATTACAGTTATGGCGCTTTCCATCTTTGCCTGTGAAGGCTTTGGCAAAGAGCTGCAGCTCCCTTGGTGGGGAGTTCTGCTAGCCTGCTTAATGGCACTGTTTTTCACCTTGCCTGTTGGGATCATTCAAGCCACAACGAACATGGTATCTTTCTTTTCTCGAAAGAAAAGACATCAGGTTCCGACATTGGTTTCATCATGAATTTCCTAACCATGGTCTTACATTTACGTGCAGGCGGTAGGGTTGAATGTGATTACCGAATTGGTCATTGGGTATTTGTATCCTGGCAAGCCTCTGGCCAATGTTTCTTTCAAGACCTACGGCTACATCAGTATGGTGCAAGCTCTAATGTTGCTTTCAGACTTCAAATTAGGCCATTACATGAAGATTCCTCCGAAATCGATGTTTTTTGTACAGGTAATTCAACCGTTACTCTCTGTTCTTATATGAACTTTATATTGTCATCCCCTCCTAATTTGCCTTTTCTGCTTTGCCAGCTTGTTGGAACCGTAGTTGCTTCAACTTGCTACTTCGGAACAGCATGGTGGCTTCTATCCAGTATCGAAAACATATGTAACCCTGCTTTGTTGCCCGAGGGAAGTCCGTGGACATGCCCCGGTGATGATGTATTTTACAATGCTTCAATCATTTGGGGTGTTGTTGGTCCGCTCCGCATGTTCACTAAATATGGTAACTACAAAGAGATGAACTGGTTTTTCCTAATAGGCCTGCTTGCCCCTGTTCCGGTATGGTTGCTATCGCGCATGTTCCCAGAGAAGAAATGGATCAAACTAATCCACATGCCGATGATCCTTGGTGCAACAATGAGCATGCCACCGGCTAAAGCCGTGCACTACATTTGTTGGGGAACCGTTGGAATCTTCTTCAACTGGTATGTTTACAGTAGGTACAAGCGATGGTGGGCAAAGCATACATATGTCTTATCAGCTGCTTTGGATGCTGGTGTCGCTTTCATGGCTGTAGTCCTTTACTTCACCCTTCAATCCTACAATGTCAGTGGTCCGGAATGGTGGGGTCTTGAAGGCACCGATCACTGTGACTTGGCGCATTGTCCAACTTTCCCTGGAGTCGTGTCCGAAGGTTGCCCTGCCGTTTGAAACTCCTTTGCATTCATAGGCTTTCATTTTCTGCATATCTGTAATAGCAACGACACTGCTTATTAGGTTATAGTTTATAAAATGCCCAACAGTTATGAGTTTTTCTTTTTAATATTCATCCTCATAGTTTAATGTATTAAGATTATTGTTGTTTGAAATTTAAAGTTTAATGGTTTAATATTTACTATTATAAAAATTAAAATTCTGTTTGTGAAAAGTAGTTTTTGTTATAAAAAATACTGTTATAATTTACATGTATAATTGTAGCTGGTGACCATTCTACAAAATTCAGCAACATTTTGTTTAAAGAATTCTGATAAAAATTTAAAAATGACAATGTCTAAAAAGAAACACATCGCGGCAGCCTTCGTGATACGAGTCTTAATATGAGGACGAACAAGACCGGACAGGCTTCTCATGGTGCCATTGCAGGACTTTACCAGTCACCGGCTCACCGCCTGCTCTTTCCAGTGTTGATAGCCTGCAACAAAAGTCTCCACACAGATTTGAGCTCGAATTACCGAACCGGTCACATCTTACGACGATGTAACCATGAGTTAGTTAGTTAATTCTAGTTTCTTCATGTAATTCACTGATTGTCATAGCAATGTTACCTTCCATGAATTCATGAACTCTCTGAAACTACATGATTGAGTAAATTGGCAAACGAAACAAATCATTTCAAGAATAAAACAAAATTAAGAGAATCTAAACATGTTTTTAGTGATTGTTTCCTTGTAAAATTGTATAAAGTGATAACAGCAATGGTTATTCCTATAAGTTTACACAGCACCAGTAGTATTTGAAACTTTTGAGCCTTCACTGGCATTTTCACTGGTTTTGGACTTCATTGAAGTTTGCATTGGGAGCTGCTTGCTTGAACTTTGATTTAAGTCTTTCAAGTTGAGTGATGTATAAACCGACATTCCACACAAAGCAGCAATAGCTCCACACAGGCTAACGAGCCCCGGGTCTGAATCGAAAAGTAGATATCCCCCCACAAGAATCACACATGTCTTGAATTGCCCCAGCACCACATGAGAGGTTGCAGATGTTGCTCTGCGATGAGAAAATGTTAATCAAGTCCGACGATAATGTTGCCTGAAGAAAGTGATGTAGGATAGTTATATTACTCACCCTAGAGCCAGAGCACCGGACCATTGTAAGAGGAACCCGAGTAAAGCCGACATGAGAACCGCTATTGAGTTGTTTACATCCCATTTGAATGAAAACACTCCTGGTGGATCCAACCATGGCATCAAGGCTAGTAAAAATAGTACTGTGATTGGGGTTGTCTTCCACATTAACCTGCATTGGGAACTTGTATTTAATCTCGGTAATAGTGACTGGAAAAAAAAGATGACTTACGCCAGGGCTGTCCAGTTGGCTTGTTGTTGTAAGTTAGACCAGAGAATTTTGTTTATGGCACTGGGGATTATCCATGCTATGGCTATACAAGAACCGAAAGCATTGAACTCTAAATCTGTTACGGTGGCTACCGCTACACCTGCCGAGACAACTGCTAGGGCCAAAACCTGAAACACCATGATAACTGGATGAGAAAACCAGATAAAAAGGAAATACTTTGAAGGGACTGTTTTCCAAGAGCCTGCTAACACCTTTTTGAACGAAATGGATTTCCCGGAGAGAATGAAATCCGCGAGAACAATGGTCGGAGTGACTGCGATTTTCGCCATTTGGTAGAAACCAACACTGTAACATAAGATAAATCATGACAAATTGGGAGCAATGGTGATTATTATTTCATAAGGCGGGTGACGCAAAAGCAGACCTGTTAAACTTCAGGCTGGTATTGGCAAGGCCAGAGGCAAAAGCCATTATAGCTCCCAAAGAGAACAGGGAGGAGAAAGGAGTCGTTTTCGATGGAGGCGAAACAGGAAGCAACGACATCGTCTTGAAAAACGCTAGAAAGATCCACGCTATGGAGTAGTGTATAAAAGTTAGGAAAATGGGGAAATTGAATCCAACTCTCCCCATCACCTGCAATGGAACATAACATACAGACTAATCAAGACCGCTTATCAATGTCATAAACCATCTGCACTAAACAAGATTAAAGAGATTACTAACAAATTTGTTTGTCAGTATAATCCCAACAGAAACAAAGAAATTGAAGGACATAGCCGCCACCGGTCCGCAAAATCGTTGCTGTTGCCGCTTTGCTCCTTCCGAAGTTCTAAGCTCATTGTAGAGGGAACTCCTGAGTTCTTCCAGTGCTCTACCTGGAAAAACAGAAAAGGAACTTTAAAGAACTAAAGTAATCCAACAAATAATGTCACCCCATGTCATCGATAATCTAATCTCGCCAACTAACTAAAATTTTATAAGTTCGCCCCTAACATAAACCATCGGCAAGACAAATTACTAATTGCAGAAACAGATAAGCTACCTTTAAGACCAATTAGGGGAAGTGAAACATTCATTGTTTTCTTGAACCACAAAACTTAAATCCTCACGACCAAGAGAAATTCCTTATTCCAAAACACTGAAAAGCAAAAACAACAATCAAATTCTTGTATAATTGCGATATTTTCTTTGTATTTTCTATTGATAATCTGTTTTAGTCCCTAGAATTATTAAGTTCACCCTCTAAAATTTTACAACTTCAACTCCATTTCAAAGACAGAATATCACACCACATTGCATAAAATAAAACTACGGAGACCAAAACATACACAGACAGACACCCCCATCGACAATGACATGGATGTTGAAATAAGGACAATTTACAGACCAATAAAAAAACATGTCTATGAAGAAGAAAAGACATGAATATGACAATGGAGGTTATTTTTTAAGTATTTCACAGACAAACCTGCCTCGCCTGCATCGCTTTCTTTCCTTTTGAAAACCTTTCTTCCATCTGCACCTAATAATAAGAAATCAAGCCACCCCATTTCGACACAGAGACTGAATCACACATTATCATGGAAGAAGAAACAAGAAGATGAAATGAAGATTTTGAAATATACAGATAAAAATGGTTTTAGATTGACAACGAAACAAGTGTCCTGTTAAAGTTAGTTACTGAAAAAAATTCGAAAATTATGAAGATCAGGTATTGGGTTGATGTGAGCACGCATGCACTGAAACCCTGTAACTGTTTAAGGCAAACGGATGGAGCAATGGAACATGGCAACATGATGATGCCACATGTCGGATCTCTTACATGCATAGTGCCACAATGGTGGTGGACAACTGACAGGACAATATAGGGATCTTTCTGTTTTAGTAGGTACATGTTTTTTTATGGTGAAATATGCATGGTTTTGATTTGTTTTAATTGTAGATTACAAAGAAATAGTCAACCTTTACGTGCATGTATGAGCGTTAAGTACTCGGGATCAAAATTTTATTGGAATCCATTAACTTAATTAAAATCAATATTTTAAAAAAAAAATTAAAAATTGTTTTTCTAATTAATTAATCATATTATAAAATATATTATTAATGGGTTTTAATGACCCGACAGACGCCAATAAAATTTTGGATAAACTACCAATTTGGTCATCCATCTATTATTTAGTTTATGTTTTGATCATTTAACTATTAATTTTTTAAAAAGCATACTCAATGTAATGCTTTTGTTTTGTTTTAAGCATATGCTGTTAAAAAATTAATGATGATGATGACATGGTATTTTAAAATTATTTTGCAATTTAGATATGTCATTATCGTATGATAACGTGTTATCATAAAAAATTAATAACGGGTGATCAAAACAGAAAAAATATTAATTAATATTATAATAATGAAATAATTAAAACATAAACAAAGTAAAAGATATGTGACAAAATAGTTACCTTACCATAAACATTTTGCTTAATTATAAAATAAGTGTCTAAATTATAGTGTTTTTCACGAATATGTGCCTAAATTATATTTTGAATGATCCCGATACCTAATATTACAAATGTTATCACTTTAGGTGTATGGTTGTCAACAACATTAATTTATTTCGTTAAGTGACATGTGTCACATTATGATAATATTAAAAAATTTATTTAAAATTTAAAATTATATCTTTGAAATTATATCTTTTTGAATATTCTGAATTAAAAAGATATTATATTATTTTCTTTTAATTCAAATGTTATTATAATATGACTTGTAGTTCACGAATATATTCTAATTAAAACGGTATTAATATATAATTTTTTTATTTTATTCGAATACTAATTAATAGCCATACTTTTCAGAATATATTGTTCTTTTCCCACGTGAAACACTACAAATACCGTGTAAACATACTAGATTTTACACAACTAAAAAGTACTTACTTTGATGCAAAATTGTCAATTTCTATTAAACTTTCATGTCTTATCTAATTTTAGAGGTCATGCATGGGAATTCGAAATGTTGACACTTAGCCATAAATTAAAAAAATTAAAATAGAGAAAAGTATAGGCAGCCCGATCTGATTATGCCATTTCTAAAATAATAAATAAATAAAATATGGGAACATGAAAGAAAGACACTCCACTCAACACCTCAAAGCCTTTAAAATGTCTCAATTATTGTAAATGAAACAAAGTAAAACAATTTATATGGAGTAAAGAATAATATTTAAAAGCAATTAAATCAAATTTTATTAGAATAAAATAAAACAAAATGATTAAATTTTAGATTTAAACATAACAAAAATTCAAAAAACCATAATTTAACCTATAATAATAATAATAATAATAATAATAATAATAATAATGTATCGATCATTTAATTTAATTTAAATTAATTAATTAAAAAAACATATAAATGGAGACACTTACCTACTCAGATTTGGTCATTTGGAAGGTGCAACAATTTTAACTTCCGGTTCAAACTTAAGTTGACATTGATTTGAAGATCAAACAATTTTAATACTTTGCTTTTATCTTAATTCTAAAAATAAAAAGAAAGAGGGGAAGAAGATTTGCAGTTGAAGAAGCGGTTGCTGTTCAGCTTTGCTTACTAGAGACACCAAAAGCCGAGGGAAGTTAGGCCAAGGGTTAGCCTCTCTCCAAGTTTCCCCTCTTTCTTTTCACTTGGAATCAAAGCAAAGGTTCCTTTTTTTTCAGTTGATTCTTGGTCACCATCTCTAACCCACCTTCACATCCCTTCCTATATCTACTTCCTTTATTTTTTTGGGGATTAAGTCCTTGTATTTGTGTGGTTCTTTATTGGTTTGAGCAGCTGCAGAATACACAAGCTTCTGGTATTTGTTTCTCAACTACATCATATGGTTGTTTGTTTGTTCATGAAAGTCTTGTGCTTCATCAGTTTTGTTTTGAGGAGCAATATATTTGTAAACCAAGTGAGGAATTATTGGAGTTTGTTTTTGGAATCATGAATACCCGTTACTTGTTCCAACCCGATTCGTGCGATTCGAGCGCCGCCGTTCCGTTTTCGACTGATCCTCCCGGGGGAGACGATAGAACGGCTGCTGCTGGTTTGCCGAACAGGTCTCCCCGTGTTGCGTCGTCCTCGATTTTGTTAAGGGCGGTGATAAGGATATCTAGAGCGAGGTGGTTTATGTTCTTGAGAAGAGTTTTTCATTATCAAAACGGATCGAGGTCCGACCTCGGGTCCAATCCTTTCAATTCCGTTACTTGGATGATGCTGGAGTTCTTGGCTTTGGTTATTCAGATTACCATCACCACATTCACTTTGGCCATTTCGAAGGAGGAGAAGCCTGTTTGGCCAATGAGAATATGGATTGTCGGCTACGATATCGGTTGCGCCCTTACTTTGTTACTTCTTCACGGCCGCTACCGATATCTTCATGTCAGTCAAGGAGGTGGCGACATTGAACAACAGAGGACGAATGAAGAATTGAGGTAAGCATCGTATTACTTGATTCAATTCAACCTTTGTTTTTCATTCTCATTAGGCCATATCATGTTAGTGTTGGAGCTTGGAAAATATATGCTGAAACCCCAGATTAATTGAGATGTAGTAGTACTGTTCAGGTGCTCACATTTGATGAACAAGTGCCGGACATCACTGGAGCTGTTCTTCGCGATATGGTTCGTGATGGGAAACGTTTGGGTGTTCGATTCTCGATTCAGATCGTTCCACCGAGCTCCGAACCTTCACGTGCTCTGCATCTCATTGCTAGCTTGGAATGCTCTGTGCTACTCTTTCCCATTCCTATTGTTCCTACTCCTATGTTGTTGTGTGCCACTCATTAGCAGCCTCCTAGGCTACAACATAAACATGGGTTCCACTGATAGAGGGGCATCTGATGATCAAATCTCCAGCCTGCCTAGTTGGAGATACAAATCAATCAACACCAACTTGGAGCTTGATCACGATCCAGACTGCAACCCGAGCCGTGCAAACGAAGATCCAGTAAGTCGCACGGATTCCCTTTGTCGAAAAATTTGCACATATTATTTTGGATGCTAATGGTGTTCATGTTTGTCCTGTTGACAGGAGTGCTGCATTTGCCTAGCTAAGTACAAAGACAAAGAAGAAGTGAGACAATTGCCATGTTCCCATATGTTTCACCTCAATTGTGTGGATCAATGGCTCAGAATTATATCTTGCTGTCCACTGTGCAAACAAGAACTGGAGAGATAGAAACAAAGAAAACAACACAACACCTGAAAAAAAACACTCTTTCTTTTACTCTATATTTTTCCCATCCTTCATTCACCATATGGTGTGATTTATTTTATTTGTATAATCACAAACGTTACTTGAGTGAGTTTATTGTTTTGTACAGTGGATGCTCACCAGTAACCAAGTTTCCTTTCTCTTTTTCCTGGAAAATTCTATACTGTTTATGAGAATCTGTATAGCAGATGGCAAAAAGAGAATGAACAATTTATTAATTTGGTTAATACCCCATAATCAAGTTTAACTTTACACATTTAAATACATTGGAACACATAACCTTCTACTAAAACTATGGTGGTTATCTGCTACCTAGTTACAGTGTTCTTTATAAATTGTTGACATTAATCTACATTCAGATTTGGAGTGCAGAAAATTTAGGCCGTATCATTACTTTAAATAAATTAAAAGTTTCATGCTTCTTATGTAAATTTTAAAAGTTTGATGATCAAAAATATAATTACTTTAAAAGTTAGGTGACCATTAATGTAGTTGTCCTAAAATTTAATATTTTAGAAGTACTTTTATGATTCAGTTATAGTAATCAGTTTGGAATTTATTTTTAGATTGATAGATGGCTGGCTGGCATAAGATTACTGGAGAATCAGCTAGGATAACTTTATGGATTTTGCCTAATCGCATATAATGCTCTAATCAATTAGTACTTTTTCAGTAACTAAACTAGAGCCATTAATCAATAAGGTTGAAATGATCACCACTAGGGTTGGGCAGGGCACAGGAGACTATTGACGTATACTTTATTCAGATCAATTAACTCTAATACAATTATATATATATATATATATATATATATATATGGCCTAGAGTTGCTCTAATTAAAAAATGTGGTAAGATTTTGATCAACAGTTTTTCTTTCAATATTATAAGCCACAAGTCGGCCTTAACATGCAGGTATCAAGGACAATAATAAGAATCCATCCATGTAATTTTGCGTATAAATTCAGAAGAAAATGCTATTTGATCAACACTTTCCCATAGTTTAACCATGGATAACCAATCCAAGTTGCTCCCATTGTTCTTCACCTTCCTTGTGTTCATTTTCATGGTGTTTAAGCTCTTGATGGGATCCAAACCAAAAATCTTCCTCCTGCACCATGGAAACTACCTATTATAGGGCACTTGCACCATTTACTCTTCTCTCTTCCCCATCACCGGTTGACGGAATTAGCCGAAAGGCATGGTTCAGTGATGCACCTTCAACTTGGTGAATTATTATACATTGTTGTTTCTTCTCCAGAGGCTGCTAAACAAGTGATGAAAACACATGATATTAATTTTGCTACCAGGCCCTCTCTCCCTTTTGCTGAAATCATAACGTATAATTTTTCAGATATTGCTTTCGCACCATACGGAGGTTATTGGAGGCAGCTTCGAAAAGTCTGCACGTTGGAGCTGCTTAGTATGAAACGTGTACAATCATTCCGATCAATTAGAGAAGAGGAGGTATCCAGTTTGGTTACATCCATCTTTTCTAGTTCAGGATCGGAAATCAACCTCGGAGAACTGTTATGCAACTTATCATATAGCATCACTTTAAGGACTGCTATTGGAATAAAGAATACTAGTTGTTAAACAACAATTAAACTATATGAAAATCGAATGAAAACCATGAGATAAAGCTCTTGAAGCTTAAACCCTCCTAAAACTTAAAATGAGCTCATGGCCACCATGGAGGAAGATGGTGAGCTCATCTTGGAGCTTACGATCCAAGGGTCACGAATATTACCCTAGTTTTTTGGATTGAATAAGATGAAGAAAGGTTGGAGCTTTTCTCTTGCTCTTGCTTGAATGGAGAGAAAGAAGAAGAGAAGGGGAAGAAGAAAAGAAAACCTTTTTACTCTTCTAAAACTCCCACGTCTATAAGAAGAAAGAATCCCCGCAAATCAGCCTTGTTTTTTCCAAATGGGAAAATCACATCTAAGCTTAAATCTCCTTTACATCTTATACAAGGTTAATTTCTTACTCGATTAAACTCAATTTCTTATCAATAGACCTCCATTATATAAAAATACTATCCTAATCTTCGGGGTGTTACAAGGTTAATGGTGCTCATGTTTTCCCTATTGATAGGAGTGCTGCATTTTCCTAGCTAAGTACAAAGACAAAGAATAGAGGAAAGCATCTTATCACTTGATTTAGTTCAACCTTCTTGTTGTTCATGTCTCATTAGGACATGCAATGCTAGTGTTGGAACTTGGAAGAATATGTTGAAACCCCAAAATAATTGAGATGTAGTAGTATATGTTTAGGTGCTCGCAATAATGAACAAGTGTCGGACATCGCTCGAGTTGTTTTTCGCGATATGGTTCGTGATGGGCAACGTTTGGGTGTTTGATTCTCGAGTTGGATGGTTCCACCGAGCTCCGAACCTTCACGTGCTTTGCATATCATTGCTAGCTTGGAATGCTCTGTGCTACTCTTTCCCAATCCTATTGTTCCTACTCTTATGTTGTTCTGTGCCACTCATTAGTAGCCTCTTTGGCTACAACATGAACATGGGTTCTACTGATAGAGGGGCATCTGATGATAAAATATCCAATCTGCCTAGTTAGAGATACAAAGCAATCAACACCAACTCGGAACTTGATCACGATTCGAACTGCAACCCGAGCCATAAAAACAAAGATCCAGTAAGTCACACATATTCCCTTTGTCGAAAAATTTGCACATATTATCTTGAATGCTAATGGTGTTCATGTTTGTCCTATTGATAGGAGTGCTGTATTTGCCTAAGTACAAAGACAAAGAAGAAGTGAGACAATTGCCATGTTCCCACATGTTTCACCTCAATTGTGTGGATCAATGACTCAGAATTATATCTTATTGTCCATTGTGCAAATAAGAACCAGAGATATAGAAACAAAGAAAACAACACAACACCTGGAGAAAAGCTCTTTCTTACACTATATTTCTCCAATCCTTCATTCACCATGGTGATTTATTTTATTTGTATAATCACAAAGGTTACTTGAGTGAGTTTATTGTTTTCTATAGTGGATGCTCACCAGAAACCATGTTTTTTTTCTGAAATTTTTTATATTGTTTATGAGAATATGTATAGCAGATGGCGAAAAAGAATGAGCAATTTATTTATTAATTTGGTTAATACCTCATAATCAAGTTTAACTTTACACATTTAAGTTCTTTCGAACACACAACCTTTCAGCTAAGACTATGTTGGATATCTGCTCACTAATTGAAGTGTTCCTTATAAATTGTTGACATTAATCTAAATTCAGATTTGGAGTGCAGAAGATTTAGGTCATATCATTACTTTAAATAAATTAAGGTTAAAGTACACAAATGGTCCCCCAACAATGGGGTGTTGTTTTGTTGAATCTCTCGACTATTAAAAGTTACAAAATGATCGTCCGACTATTCATATGTTCCAAACTCAATTGATAGTTGTATGAGTTGGACGTTAAAATGCTAACTAGGATATGATATTCGTTTGATAGGATCAGATTTATCATATCCCAAGCAATATGTTAACGTCCAACTCAGACGAGTGTCGATTTTTTAATAGAACTTGATGAGTTTGGAACATATGAATAGTCGGACGACCATTTTGTAACTTTTAATAGCCAGGGAGCTCAACAAAACAACACCGTATAAGTGGGGTACCATCTTTCTAATTTACCAAAAAATTAAAAGTTTAATGCTTCTTATGATCAAAATATAATTACTTTAAAAGCTAGGTGATCATTAATGTAGTTGTCCTTAATTTTAAAATTTTGAAAGTATTTTTATGATTCAGTTATAGTAGTTAGTTTGGAATTTTAATTTCTAGATTGATAGATGGATGGATGGCATATGATTATTGGAGAATCAACTAGGCAAAATTTATGGATTTTGCCTAATCTATATATAATATTATAATCAATTAATACATTTTTAGTAATTAAATTAAAGCCATTAATTGATAAGTTTTGAAATGATCATCACTAGGGTTGGGCATGGGTTGTTTTCTGTCCTTTTCGTCTTGATGTAAATAGTTTTTTTTTGGGGGAGAAGGTAGATTTAGGAGCGAGCAAAATTCGACTTAACTTGAAAATTTAATTTTTTTGACTCGACTCGATTTGAATTGACTTCAAGGTGTAATTTCATAAACTCGACTCGACTTGAATTGAGTTCGAGTTGTAATTTCATAAACTCGACTCGACTCAAAAAAAATTTAAGTTCTAACCGAGTTGTAAAATACAACTCGAATAACTCGAAATTTTTAGTAATTAGTAGATTGATTTTCAAGTTTGAGTTGAGTTCATCGACTTTGTATGGTATATGCAAATCACATATATAAAAATATGAATATATATATGTATTGTATATGGTTATAAAATACAATTTAAATTAGAATCAAATAATGTCATAATATTATTTATTTTTACAATTAAATTTAAATAGAAACTCAAAAATTGACTCGACTCGCAAAAATTTTAAGTCAATTCCGAGTTATAAAGTAAGACTCGTCAACTCGAATAACTTGAAATTTTATGACTCGACTCAACTCGACTCGATTAAAAGCTAACCCTTAAGTAGAGAGATAATTGAAAACAATATATATAGATATATTATAATAATTATTCTTAAAAATATAGAGAATATTATATTAATTATCTAGATTCAATATTTTTTATTATAAATTTAATTTCACCTTAATTATAATTTTATTTTAATTTGAATCATTCAAAATGTATAAATAAATATTATATTATTATATAAAATATTTTTGAATATAAAAATTATTTTATATTACGAATTTTATTAAGTATAAAAGTTGGAGATAGCAAACGGGTGGGTCAGATACGGATACCTCATACCCTATCCTCATACACACCTAATATTTTTAAATCCACTCACCACTTATGATGAGTAAAATTTTTCAAATCCACACCCGCCTACACGGGTACATTCTCAAATCTATCCCCACACCACTACCCAACTAGAGACGTACCCGGCTAGATCCGCCTGACAACAACCTTAAGTTACACATAAGCAACAAACATAAAACAAACACGTCCATTAAGAAGAATAATATTAGTCTTTAAAATTATACCTAATATTTGGTTAAATTATAAGTTATCTTATACAATATTAAGATTTATAAATTAGTCTCTAAAATTATACCTAAATTCATAATGGTCTAAAATTTAATGGGTATTTAGTGGGCGGACAGGTGCGGGTAAGATCTCAAACTCATCACCCGCACACTACCCGCGACGGGTATCACTTTCTAAATCTATACCCGTCCACTACCTACTAAAGATATACCCATCACGCCCCAATTGGAGCGGATAGAATACGGAATCCACGAAATTATAGTTGTTTGCAATCCCTAATGAAAGTTATTTTATTTCTTCAAATCTTTGGTCTTTCACCTCCTTATAGCACTCCTTTAAAACTACAATTTTGTTCCAATAAATATTAAGTTTAGAGGTAGAATTATTAAAGATTAAATAAAATAAGACGCGACTAGAGATTTTTTTTAAGATAAAAAAGAAAGGAATAAAAAGCAGGTATCAGAAGACAATAATAAGAATCCATCCATATAATTTTGCCAATAAATTCAGAAGAAAATGCTATTTCATCAACACTTTCCCATAGTTTAACCATGGATAACCAATCCAAGTTGCTCCCATTGTTCTTCACCTTCCTTGTGTTCGTTTTCATGGTGTTTAAGCTCTTGATGGGATCCAAACCAAAAATCTTCCTCCTGCACCATGGAAACTACCTATTATAGGGCACTTGCACCATTTACTCTTCTCTCTTCCCCATCACCGGTTGACGGAATTAGCCGAAAGGCATGGACCCTTGACGCACCTTCAACTTGGTGAATTATCACACCTTGTTGATTCTTCTCCAGAGGCCGCGAAAGAAGTGATGAAAACTCATGATATCAATTTCGCTAACAGTCCCTTTCTCTCTTCTGCAGAAATCATAACGTATAATTTTTCAGATATTGGTTATGCACCATACGGGGCGCCCTGGAGGCAGCTTCGAAAAATTTGCACATTGTAGCTGTTAAGTACGAAACGTGTCAAATCTTTCCGATCGACTAGAGAGGAGGAAGTATCGAGTTTGGTTACATCCATCAGTTGTAGTACAGGATCGGAAATCAACCTGGGAGAACTGTTATGCAACTTATCATATAACTTCACTTTAAGGACTGCTATTGGCGGAAGATGCAAGCCACATGAAACATTCCTTTCAAATCTGAGGAAAGCAGTGGAACTTGCAGCTGGTTTTAGTATTACCGATCTGTTGGCTTCCATCAAATTGCTTCCTGTGATCAGTGGGATGAGAGCCGAACTTAAGAGGATGCACCACGACTTAGACCTGATGCTTGAAAGCATTATTGAAGAGGATAAAGCTAGTAATGCAAATCAGAAGAACAGTGTCAGGATCATGGGCGCCTTGAATTTCCCTTGACAACTGACACCATCAAAGCTGTTATCCAGGCAAGTACTTGATAGTAGAACAGCTCGTGTTTATGTGTGTACTGAATAATAGAACTGCTTTTCAGAACATGATTGGAACTGGAACCGAGACATCTTCGACAACAGCAGAATGGGCGATGTCGGGAATGATTAAAAATCCGAGAACCCTGAAGAAAGCACAAGCCGAGGTGAGACGAGTCTATGAAAGAACAGGAGAAGTCAACGAATCAGACCATGAACTGAAGTACTTGAAGTTAGTTATCAACGAAACTCTAAGATTGCACCCTCCTCTACCTTTGCTACTTCCAAGAGAAAATTCTGAGAGATGTGAGATTAATGGATATGAGATACCAGCCAAGACCAAAGTGATTGTTAATGCATGGGCAATCGGAAGAGACTCCAACTACTGGAACGAAGCCAATAAGTTCGATCCGGAGAGATTCATCGACAGTTCAATCGACTACAAAGGGATAAACTTCCAATATATTCCGTTTGGTGGTGGAAGGAGGATATGTCCAGGCATGTCATACGGAATGGCTGTTGTTGAGCTTACCCTCTCACAATTACTGTACCATTTTTATTGGAAGCTTCCTAATGTAATGAAAAATGAGGATTTGGATATGACTGAAGCATTTGGTGTCACAACTAAAAGAGAAAGACATCTCTACCTGATCCCCTTCCCTTACTACCCACCATCTTGTATTTGATAATTTACAATAAAAATACTTGTGAAAGAAAAATTCCACTACCAAAAAATTAGCCTTTTAGCAATACCAGATTTTCTTTTTCCTTCAACCTTGTATTGTTTTATCATGTATTAATTTTGCTCTTAATAATATCACATGGAGTAACAACGTCTTGCACTACATGATATTAAGCATTAATGTCATTTCCATCTTCAACAAATGCAATTAAAACCATTGGATTCAAACTACATCAATGAAATGCAACTAATTAGTACCAAAAGTGATCAAACTAGAAAGAACAAGGCTCAGAGAATATACGAAACATATAAATCCCATTAGATTCAATCAGAGAATGCAAAGAACAGTTTCTGATAAGCAAGAAAAACGAGGACTAAGATTTTTTCACCAGAGATCCGGATTTCCCCGAAGATGCAGTAGTTTTTTCAATCGTTTTCATGAGTGTTTGGATGCACCAGAGATCTGGGTTTTGAGGAACTCAATTTCCATCTGCAATTCAAAGCATTTTTTCCTTGCATTCTCCAATTCTAATAGCAGCCTCGCTCTCTCAATCAGCTGCATCAATATCGGGTGCTGTCTGTTCATCGCCACAACTCGAATCTCGGACATCGACTCTTTTTTTTCTCTTTGAGAAATTGTTGGTGTTGTTTGCTATTGGGTTTTCTCAAGAGGATTCTTGAAGACTGAGGAGAAAGAAGATGGCCCTGATTTATATTGGATAATGGAAGTGGATTTGCAATTACTTTCTTCGTGATTTTAGGAGAAAATTACTGAAATTCCAGGTTTTGAACCATTCAAGGAATTTTTCTTTTTCAGAAGAATACGAATACGCCAAAGAAAATTGATTCTTCCTCAAAATATTTCTGGGTAAAGTCTATAATTAGGTCCCAAACTTTTAAGGACCTTGTATTTTGGTCATCAAACTTTTAAAATTTATAATAAAATTTTTGAACTTTTAGTTCATTTTCGTTTTGCTCTCAGCTGTTACTCCGTTAAGCTGACGTGACACTTAACTTCTATTAATTCTCCTTCTTCTTCTTCTTCTTCATGCGTGATTCAAACTTCTGGTTCTTCTTCTTCGGTCTTCAAGTCCATGACTATGCATGATTCAAACTTTTGGTCTTCTTCTTCGCTCAAAGTCCATGGCTATGCGGGATTCAAACTTTTGGATTTGATCTTTTTGTTTGTTTTACAGCAACAAATAGTTTTAGGTTTTGATTTACATTTGAAAATCTAGGTTCCAAGTTTAGCATTAGCTAGACATGTCTATTCCTCCTTGGTGCTTTTTCTAGATGTTTTTAAGTTTCATTGTTTCATCCAACAGGAAAATTTTATTGTGCTACCTAGACCTTGACCCTCACGAGCGTAAGATTTCAAAGCAGTATCGATGACAGCAGCAACGAGCTCTTCCTCGTTAACCACAAAACGGATCGGTCCAACAAAAACAAAAATCCGGGTTATCGATGGGGGAAAAGTATTGCGATTTTTTCAAAGGGATTTGTCGTTTGTTTATGGGTCAGACAGCGATAGTACCAGCCTTCTTTGCAAGAACCGAATATGAAACCAGAAAGCTCGCCCTGGATTTACAAAGTACGAGCTCCAAATCGTTTCCATCATTCACAAAAATACCAAATATCAATGATTTTTATTCCAACAAAAAGGGAAAAAGGCTAGGAAAAAAGAATTATTGGGGTTTGGGATTTTCCACAAAAATCCATAGCCATGGACAATATACCCAGTGTTGGAAATTAGGGACACTTTTTAGGTTTATAGGGGAAGTTTTGGGGAAAAAGAAGAAGAAGAAGAAGAGTTGGCGGAGGTAACTATTATAAATTTTAAAAGTTTGGTGATCAAAATGCACAAACTCTAAAAGTTTAGGTATTATTTATATATTTTACCCAATATTTCTGGGTTAACTACGTAAGATCATCTCTCTCTTATTAAAATACTTTTATCATAAAAAATATATTTTTAATAAATTTTGATTACTCACAATATCGATTGTATATTTTGATCATCAAGATGTTAATATCTGTTAGTTTGATAGTGTGATGTATTTTTTATCACAAACTTGAAACGTCGTCAAACTAACATGAACTAAAATATAAAATATAACATTCGATAATACAAGTGATCAAAATTTAATAAATTAATAATATAAATTATTAAATATATATTTTTTAAAATTTTGATAAACAAAAATATACAAATATAAAGAGAAAATGATCATTTCATTTTATAAATTTTTTTTAAGTTATTAAAATATTTATAAAAGTATAAAAATTATTGCAAATTTATTATTTTTCAATCAATTTTATTTGATAATAATAAAAGGTATAGTAATAAAATTATCCTCAATATTTATAAAACTGGTCATTTTGTTCTTTTAAGTATTATAGTTCCTAATGTTTTAATCAACATTAATATTTGATTAAAGCAAACCTTATTAAATGAAAATTATTAATTAACAAACATCAATATATGTTATTGACGTGATATTTTTATACGTGTTTATTTATTAACGTGACATATGTCACATAATTATTTTGGATGATATGATACATATTATATCATTATTTTGATGATATAACGTATGTCATACCATTATTTTAAATGACGTAATACACTTCATATTATCGTTATCTAACAACTTTTATCTAACATAATCTATTCTAACCAAAAGTTAAAACAATAAAGGTTCAAATAAGAAGTAAGATCATCATTTTTACAAACGTTAGAAATAATTTTATCATTATATGATAGTAAAAAAGAGTAAATAAAAATTATGAGTTAAAATGGTTTTCTTCGAAAAGTTTGAGGATCCAAAATGTTGTTAGCCCTTTATATATTATAGACAAATTAAAAAAAATGAATTTTCATGCCTGCAAATTGTTGAAATATCGACTTCCTTTTTAGTCCCACATCTATCACCATCTTAAAAATCACTGCCGATTTCGCGGATTTTCTATACTAACCTATGCACTCTCCTCATAGAAAAGGTAATAATATTTTGTTTTCATTTATTCGTGTTTTCCTCCGTTCCTCGATAGAACTAAAAAGAAAATTACCTTTTTTGAATCCCCGTGAGCTTAAAGTAGGTAGCTTTAATAAACTTTTAAGATTCAATAGATCTATTGTTATTCTATTTGGCAATTCGGGTTGTTCCTAGATTTTTTTGAAAGAATTTTTTTTGTGGAATTGGTTAGATTGGATCCTGATGTTCTATTTGTAATGAAGTCATGATTTTGTGTTTGAATTGGGCCTTTTTGATGTGTTTGATTGATGGGTATTGGAATTTGAACGAATACTGTTTGTTAGAATGTCTGTGCTATATACTTCAATTGTAGGAAATGATTAGATCCTTGATACAGGTGTTAACAAATATTGGTAATTGGTGATTTATGGTCATTGTAATTTTGTAGAATAATGGAATGGCTAATTCTTTTTTGGTAGGATCAGTCATTTTTTCATCTGCTTTGTGTTCCAAGATTCATGAATATTGCTCTATGCTTCGTTGCCTGATTGTGTTTGGTGAATATCCGTTTGATTTTGTAAGACAGGTACTGATTTGACTTTGAGCTTGTGGTCTCCAAGTTTACTAGTTTATCTGATTCAGACTCGGGCATTCGGTCTTCAGTCTGCAGAAACAGGAAATGGTTAAAAGGTATTCACTGTTGTTTGCCTTTAGACCGATTGCGTGTATAGATAGAATGACATGAATGGGAATTCTGGCATGTTTTGCCATTGTCTAGGTATGGAGTGTTTTGAAGCGAGGAGAATATCATGTTGCAGTGCATGGATGGATTGAAGCATTTATGTGCTTCTGTGCTGCAATGCTGTGATATTGATTCAAACGAACAACCAAGAGGTCTTGTTGATCCTGAACTTCTTGCAAGAGAGACAGTTTGTATGTTATCATTCTTCTTTTCTTTTTAAATTATATTGTTAAAGCTTTCTATATTGCTTGTGCAACACTGTTTACAGTTTTGCATGACTTACCATTCGTTCAGACTTCACCTGTATTATCTTAGTTACTGAATTCTAATGAAATTTGCTACTTTGCTCATCATGATGCAGTTAGTGTAAGTGAAATAGAAGCACTTTACGAGCTTTTCAAGAAGATAAGCATGTTGTTATAGATGATGGGCTGATTCACAAGGTCTTATTTTATTTTATTTTATTTCTTAGTTCATATGATTCTGCTTGTCGAGTTTTTGGGCTTGATGATCACTCCTATCTTGAGTTGGTTCTTCCCCTCTCATCTTTATAGTATTTGTGTTTTATTTTATGTTAATACTTGGCAGGAGGAGTTTCAATTGGCGCTGTTCAAAACAAACAAAAAGGAGAGTTTGTTTGCCGATCGGGTATTCTATCTAATGTTGATTAATATTACCTCCATTTTTTTTTATAGAGTTATGCTTGTTAATCTCATCATGCCAATATTTTAACTTAAGTTATTAGCATACCGCTTGAGCTACTGTCAATATAGTACTGATTTCACCGCAGGTATTTGACTTGTTTGATGCAAAGCATAATGGAATTCTAGGTTTCGAAGAGTTTGCTCGTGCTCTCTCTGTCTTCCATCCAAATGCACCCATTGATGAGAAGATTGAGTGTATGTGTTAAACATTTGTATGTATCAAGATCTATATTTATCTCTCTTGCTGTAAGTCGTAATCATGTTAGCATAACGGTCAGATGTAAATGACTGGTATGGAAAATGAAATTATGAACTTAAGCACATAGATGATGATTCGTGTTTCATTTATCCTCGGATACTTTTTCTATAATGAATTTTATGCACTTTTCAGTCTCTTTTCAACTATACGATCTCAAGCAGCAAGGTTTTATTGAGAGACAGGAGGTAAATATCAATCTTATGTAGTTTACATTTCTTCCATCCTTCTTTCTTAAGTTCATATATATTTTTTCTATACAGGTAAAGCAAATGGTAGTTGCAACCCTTGCTGAATCTGGCATGAACCTTTCGGATGACGTCATAGAAAGTATAATTGACAAGGTGATCACAGAATCTGATTTCATTGAAGTTGTATCTTGTGCTTTTTATTATCTTGTTTCTACATGTTAAGTTTTGGAGCTTTGCAACAGACCTTTGATGAAGCTGATACAAAACACGATGGGAGGATTGACAAGGAAGAGTGGAGAAGCCTCGTCTTGCAACATCCATCCCTCCTAAAAAACATGACCCTACAATATCTCAAGTGAGTTCCATATATACTCTCTTATACGGAACACCACTGGCAGTCGATAACCCATAAAATACTTGCTGCCCGTTATATGTGCTCGCTTTGAACTGCTCTTGTGTGTTTCCTTGTGCAGGGACATCACCACAACATTCCCAAGCTTTGTTTTCCACTCACAAGTTGATGATACCTGAAATCAGCAATTGGATTCAGGCTTCGGTTAATTGGTTTAAGTGTGAGTCTCTGGGATGCTTTGGTTCATTGGTTTAAATTTTTTTCCTACCACTAAACAATGCTATCAGATTCCGAGTTTGTAACCGGAAAATAGCAATGTCCTAATATATGGCAAGACTATAAAAATCCTTGTTCAATTTGCCACATACCGAATGAATTCAACATATGAAGAATTAGAACTGTGCTTGCAGAGGTGCTATTGATGCAGAACATGCAACTCGCACGCACGGCTAACACCAATTCGGTCGACACATTTTTCATTGCAAGCTCGAGATAGATCAGCTGAAGCTTTAGTTGGATTACTTTTTCCTTCATGTTGCAGCTGAGGTGAAACTTGTAGAAGAAGCAACCAGTCTTTTAAGTTTTCGCAATTTGCACTTTCTTCGCTCCACATTCGCCTCGATACACTCTTTAATACTCCTCGATACTTTATGTTCATTTGCTTAGTACTTTGCAGTTTTATCATTATAAATTTTGACTGAATTTATTATCACATCAGTAAAGACGCTTCATTACAGAAAAGAATGTCATTTCTCTAAATATTTTGAGGTTATTTTTATAATTAATTATTAAATAACATTATTCTCATAAAATTATATAAAATAAGTGTTTAATTATTTTTAAAATAAAGAAATATAAAATTTACATGAAGATTCAAGGATTTTTTTGGAACGTAGTAGACATGGTTACTGTATTAAAGAAAGGAAATTAAGTTTTAGTTTAATATTAAAATTCTAACAAAATTTTAACAATTTATAAAATTTTATTTTATAACTTAATAACTAAGGATCAAATTGATGAAAACAGTCTAAAACCCCTTAAAGGAAACGTAAAACTTTCACGATAAAAATCATACCAACAAATGTTCAGATCAAATCAATTTAGTCAACTTCCTCGGCATCTGCATCTTCCAATGGTGGCATATCAGCGTCGCCATCCGCGTCGGCAGTATCCTCATCGATGCTCAAACCAAGTTTCAACATCCTGTGGATTCTGTCGCCAAAGGTGTTGGGGTCATCAAGGCTGAATCCAGATGTGAGGATAGCAGTCTCGAATAGCAGCATAACAAGGTCCTTCACCGACTTGTCGTTCTTGTCGGCGTCGGCTCTTTTTCTCAGCTCTTCCATGATGTGATTCTCAGGGTTGATCTCCATGGTCTTCTTGCTCGACCCGTCAATGCCGTTATCTCTCAAAGCCTGAGCCTTCATGATTCTTTCCATGTTGGCAGTCCAACCATACTCACCGGTCACCAAACAAGAAGGAGAATCAACCACACGGTCGGATACCACAACCTTCTCCACCTTGTCACCCAGTACATCCTTGATAACCTTGCAGAGACCATCGAATTTTTCCTTCAAAGCTTCCTTCTTTTTCTTCTCGTCTTCACTCTCATCAAGCTTCAGACCTTCTTTGGTCGCGGACATGAGCTTTTTGCCCTCACATTCCTTGAGCTGACCAACGGCATACTCATCAATAGCATCAACCATAAAGAGAACCTCATACCCCTTCTTCTTCAGCTTCTCAAGGAATGGAGAGTTCTCGACAGCCTTTTTACTTTCGCCGGTGATGTAATAGATGTCATTCTAACCCTCCATCCTGGTCACATAGTCCTTCAAGCTGGTCATCTCATCACCACTCTTGGTCGAATGGTAACGGAGCAATTCGGCGATCTTGTTTCAATTTTGAGAGTCCTCGTGGATACCGAGTTTGAGGTTCTTGGAGAAGGCCTCGTCATTTGTAAGACTCTTGTAGAATGCAGCATATTCCTCCTTGGTGATCTCCTCCGGCTTCCTCATCCAAATTGGTTTCTGCTTGTTCACCAAAGTCCACTCATGAGAGACTTCCATAATCTTCTTCTTTCTCTTTCTCCTCATCTACCTCCTCTACTTCCTCCTCATCCTCATCGTCGGACACCTCTTTCTCGACCGTCTTCTCGATCCATAGCGAAATAGGGTAGCTAATGAATTCAGAGTGCTTCTTGATCAAGTCCTTGAGACGGCGCTCCTCAAGGTACTCGAGCTGATCTTCCTTCAAGAAAAGGGCCATCTTAGTACCCCTGCCAAGGCTCTCCCCAGAGGCATCCCTGGTGACCGTGAAGGATCCTCCGGCTTGCGACTCCCACACATGCTGCTCATCATCGTTGTGCTTTGTGGTAACCACAACTTTCTCGGCAACCAAGTAAGCCGAGTAGAAACCGACACCAAATTGTCCGATCATGCTAACATCAGCACCGGCAGCCAATGCCTCCATGAATTCCTTGGTCCCGGACCTTGCAATGGTACCCAAATTGTTCACCAAATCTGCATTCACATCGAGACCCTTATCAGCTGAAACAACAACAGTTAATGGAGATGGATTTGTGAATCATTACAAAAAAAAAAAAAAAACTCACCGGCCTTGGTCATGCCAATGCCACTGTCGATGATTGAGAGGGCGTTGTTAGTCTTGTCTGGGACAATGTGGATGAACAGCTCTGGTTGAGCATCAAGCTTGCTCTCGTCTGTCAAGCTCTCAAATCTAATCTTGTCCAAAGCCTTTAAAACAAGCAATATAAAACAGAAAACGCTAAAAAAATTCATAAAAACAGCAAACAGGTTCCATTGAGTTTCATAAAGCAGAGACTTTTATTACAACCTCAAATCCTTCATGCCACAAAACTTACAAACGTATGTTAAAGCGAAAAAAAAAGCCAAAATTTCTTTCATTTAAAACAACACACTTTCATCGGAGGAGTTACTGATGAGCTCACGAAGAAAGATCTCATTGTTTCTGTAGAAAGTGTTGATGATCAAACTGAGAAGCTGGTTAATCTCAGCCTGAAAAGCAAACGTCTCAGTCTCCTCCATTTATGGACAACTCTAAGAACTAGCACGATAACAACAGCGAAATTGTAAGCAGATAGTTTGGCTAAAGTTTGGTTTTTGATTTATAGGAAGAAGAGTTCGTTCTAGATGCTTCTTTTTTTTTTTTTCTATTTTTATCGAATTATTTGGAGGGACGACGACTGGGTTTAATTTCCTGGAAAATTGTTTGCTTTAGTTTCATACATATGGTTTAATTATCGTTTTAGTCCATATATTTTACTGGGTCAGATTCACACCAGCATAAAAAGGATTAAATGAAAAAGAAAGCATTTTGATGTGGCAAAAGGCCATTGGCTGTGGAGTTTACAAGGTTGTTGAGCCTCAGCCGCTCTTATATCCTTGAAAACAGCATCCATTTGATAAATTTCTGAGACATGCAGATGCAATTGCAAGCGCCGACCTTTGCACAATTGCCTTGTTTTTTCAACTTCCCAGCAAGGTGACTTTCCACCGTCTTGTTTTCTGCTTTAGTTTCTTTCCAGTTTCTGGTTAACAGAGATTTCAATCCTCATATTGTGTGTGTGTGTGTGTGTATACTGTTTTCTGATGCTTGAAGACCACTAAAGGAGCAAATTATGGAGTATTATGAAATACTACCTTTAAGTTTATCAACGGTAGGCTTGAGAAATTTCCCTTATGTTTCTTGTTAGAAATCCCCCAAATACATGTACACATGGATGGATGGAAGTTTTAAATATAAAGTTCTCCGCGTAAAATTCTGCATCAGTCCCTGCATATTTATACCTACTGCTGTTCTCTGGTTTCGAACTTTATGCTAGAAAGAAACAAGCCAGTTTATATGATTCCTAGTTCAAACATGGCAACAAAGATTAACATGAATGTCTCGATGATATTTTGAGGTATCTGCTCTATGCATCCGCGACCATAACAGACACCACATGAATCACACTTTTCAGAACCAATGAAATACAGCATAACTGAATGGCGTTTTCGTAGTTAAAGTACCAAAGATTGACATCTCAGTTTACCTTGCATATACTTATTTTTTCTTTATTTGAGGTATGTTGTTTTATGCAACTGTGTTCCTTCAATAGCATTTCCATCTTGGTCTTAATATTATGGACAGACACTCCAAGGATGTTATGATTAAGCACTCACATGGCCGATGCCGTTCAATATCAGTCAAAAGTTTGCCTAGGAGGGTGCTTTTGCAGCTTATGGGGTTCAGTCCCATATCATTGAGTACTTATCCTATTTTTGCTGCCCCAGTGCAAGAGATGGACGAGCCTGAAGTGATTCGGTAAAATGTTGTATGTGCTGATTATTATCTTTCTAGCCATTTCATTATCTTTATTCAGCTCTGTGGTAATTTTCATTGATTCTTATAGAAGATTGCTAATTTGGATTTGAACTTCGTGGTGTCCAGGACATTGAAGCTTTCCAATGGGGTGAGAATTCAAGGTATAATTCCTCAAGCTTCTACACAAATCTGTTCTGTTTTTTTCCTCTTTTCGGGAAGGGTATTAGATCAACAAGAGTTTCTAGTTTCGGTAGAAACTACATACCTCGAATAACTGCAGTCATTCATCGACATTCGTGTTCGGTAAACCGTAAACAAGAACTATGATTGTAATACAAGTTAGCAGACCGCTTGCCATTAATTCTTGATAAACTTGTACAGAGTAATATGTCTGATTATCAGATGTCAAACATGTATAGCTTTTTAGTCTTAAGCCAAGTTTCATACTTGAACTTCTGAGTTTTTCTTTCTAGAAATTATTGAAGGGGAGGGGCCAGAAGCTCATGATGGAGACAATGTACAAGTGAACTATGTATGCCGACGATCGAATGGATATTTTGTTCACAGGTATCTGTATACGCTAGATCCATGAACATAACTCTGAGTAAGATGGTTAAAACTTTAAATCACAAAAACCCTGAATTTAAGATTCACTACAGCACCGTCGATCAATTCAGCGGAGAAAGCGCTCCTGTCACTCTTCCATTGGATGAGAACCAGGTCAGTTCTTGTTTCTTTTCTTTGGTTTCACTTGTGGAAGAGAATCACCATTTTTACCACCAGTATTCTTGAGCTCGTTTGTACATTTGACAGATTATAAAAGGTTTGAAGGATGTTTTAACAGGCATGAAGGTTGGAGGTACAATGGATTCTTGATCATTCTAGCTGCCTACTGCAACTACAAAATTACAACAAAAACGAAGAGAAAAATCCGTAATATTATCTTATGCATACATGAATCGATAATTGGATATGGAATTGACAACTTGGTTAAAGCAAACATTGTTGTTAGTCCTCTCATTTTGATCATATTAATAGTACTTCGGCCAACTTTGCTGATCACTATTTCCACTTGTCTGTATTGTGCTTTCTTTTCAGGAAAGAGAAGAGCACTAATACCTCCTTCTGTGGGATACATCAATGAAAACTTGAAACCGATTCCCGACGAGGTTTAAACCGCAATTCTTTCAGTTAGTAAAGCATTCATTTTATTTTTTTCCTTCAAGGCAACCTGTTTAAGACTGTCGTCATTGATCGCAGTTTGGTCCTCGACGTAGCCTCTTATCCCATGCCAAAGAACCGTTGATCTTTGAGGTCCAGCTTCTGAAGATATCATGAAAGTTTGCACTGCTATTGTTTTTCAGTTTTTGAGCATCAAAGACATGTATTGGATTATGAGAAAACTATCTATATGGCAGATATTAAAACATTATAGGCCATGCATTACTACATATGCATATGCATATACATGAAGATTTCATTTACCAATCTCATGTAGCTAAAGCCTTTCTTAGCAGAAAGCTCAAGCTTTTCTGATTGCTACAGCCAATGGATTTACACATTTATGAAAGCAACACATGAATCCACCATTACTTGCATTGTTTTCAAGCAATTGAAAACTTAAAAAACAGATTGATTTGATATACCAAGAGATGTAAACCGAAAGCAACCCAATAAACTAAATAAACACCCAACACCATTACTTAGATGAAGCGGATTCTAAGATTTCTGCAGAACTAGTATCAGGTGCCGGTTTATGAGTTGAAAATGATGTGCCTATTAGGGCCTTGTAGTTGTTCGAAACTGTACCGTAAATGTGTTGAGGTGACAAAGTGCAGAACGCCATGGATTGAAGGAGAACTAATGATTTGATTCATCCTTGAGGTTCGGTGATGGTAGTAAAATTGGAAATGTTGTATGATTCATGACTATGTATCATGTATGCTTCCAACCCTTTATGAACAACTTTATTCTGGTCACCCATCATTAAATACTTAATGGTGTTTTGATTGGATATTTTTATTTTAATAGTTATGAAATGATTCCCAAAACTTTTTTTTTTGGAAAACAAATCTTTTGAATTCCTTTTGATTTTTTTGATGATGAAACATATTCTTCCAAATCCCAACAGTAATAAGGTGGTGAAAGAAAAAAAAAGTTGTATATCTTGATTCCACGTTGATAGAGTGGTTTGAGGTTTCATGAGTTTTAGGTTTATGGTTGAATTTTATGAGTTTTAAAGTGATTTTAGATAATAAAAAAAAATCTAAACTGATAGAGTGATAGGAGATAATGAAGCGACCTTGTTGACAACTTAAGTGGTCGGAGAAGACATCAGATAATGATAATTGCAACACTGACATGACTCAATGATGAAATGATAAAACTTTCATATTTGGAGGAAGATAAAATCAAAAAGAAAAGGAAGAGAAAGGGAAATAATGTGGATGAAACATGAATTTCAAGTCAATAAAAATAGTTCACATCAACATACATGGTTGCAATGTAACCCTTCTATTTATGATTTCTTCCGTTTATGATTTAACACTCGGGTGATCTAAATAGGAGCAAATAAAAAAAATTAACGAGTCAATTGAAAATGTTTAAACTTTAAGCACCAAAGAGCGAAAAGAAAGTGATGAAATTTGTAATTTACCCTAAATAAAATGATAAGATATAAAAATAGGAGTAAAAGAGAGTTGGTATGTATGGACCAAATCCCGAATAATCTTACACGACTTTCAAGCATGTAACAACCAGACTAAAAGAAACTGCTCTTCTTCAAGTTCTGACTGACCTTCCCTAGAGAAGAGGCTGTTGAATGCATCAGAGAATTCAATTTTCTTTCATCACTCTTATGGTCTGCATGGACCCCGGAGTTGTTATCCGTCGATGCGGTCTCCGGCTCCGGAGCAAGCGATATAGTGCCATGTGTTTTAGCCGGAAGCACTGCTTTCGACATTGGTTGGTTCTCAACTACATCAAACTTCACCTTATTTCTACTCAAGGCTCCTTTAGCACCAGACAAATATCTCCTCACAGGAGCGGTAGGTGACCTTGGCTTTCCGGGACGTGCCGCTCTCTCTTCTGGCACTTTCGCCGATATCTCCTTCCCTGTAAGTGAAGACGTAAACTTCGACCTCCTTGGCTTTGCAGAAGAAACAGTTCTGGCCTGCAAATCACATATAAACACAAGACATTAGCGCTAGCATTAACATCTAGGAATGCTTCGGTTTCATACGGTATCGTGTTTCGGTTACCTCAGAACTTTTAGTATCATCATTAAGCCGTTGATATGCATCAGGCTTGGGAGATATTCCAAATCTAAGCACTTTTGTCTTTTGAGATGGTGTAATGCTCCTTAGTTGTTCTACTTCAGCTTCTTTCTTCTCCAATGCCAGCTTAAGGCTTGTTATCTAAGATCGATGGAAGAAATACTTTACAAAAATTTTGTTGCATTTGGAAAAAAGCCCAAGGAATGTCATCCATTAAAAGAAAAGGAAACTTAACCTCTTCTTTTAATTCCAGTATGTCACCGGTTTCTTTGTTAGATCTAGCTGCCCCGAGTTCTATCGAAGCAACTCTCTCGGCAAACTTCAACGTGCTCATCGTCTCTCCGATGGCGTCGGGTTCAGGACTTATGTGTACAAGCATTAAAGTCTTAGCATGTCCACCTATCATATACAAAATCAAAATGTGGAAGAAACGAGACGAGAAAACAACGAAGACAATAAGGAGAAGAAAGCTGAATGCCATAAAAGAACAATGCACCTAAAGAATTCTGCAATATTTGTGTGAGCTTGCTGTTTCTATAAGGAATATGTGTGCTCTTCTGTGCAAGAGCTGAGATGACATCTCCTAGTGCAGAAAGTGATCTGTTTATATATTGAGCTTCCTTCAGCCGGTCGCCTTGAACTTTCGATTTATCGACTCTCTCACTCCCGGCCAAGTCCACCAAATTGAGGGAACCTTTGAAAATCGACCCGGAAACCAGTTCTTTTCCGTGAACGTGAACGGTCAAAATGCTGGCGAAAAGAAGGATGCAGACATAAACCATGCTTAACGAACGTATTCAACATGATCAACACTATTTTCCTGGATAGAATTCTACCTATGAGAACGGCTGCTGCGCTCGTTAAACGCGGTTGGACCTACAATACGGTTCTTTTGGCCGATCCTTATCAGATCAAGAACATCTTGAGTACTTGAAACCGGAACCCAACTTGCATCAGGGACAGTAAGGCCATTCAATTGTGTATTGTTATATATGTCTAATGTAACAAGTAGTTAAGGTAACTTTAGCCTGAAGGGAAAACAAAATCCAAATCTAAAGGAGATAGAAAACAAGAATCAAAAGGATATCTTTTAGTAGAGCCATCAATAACTAGCAAATCTCTCACTTGTTCATTGTAGATTTCAACCATTTGGACCCCAACTTTGTATTCTATGACATCTGCTCTTGTCTTCGATATTTGAAATAAGTCACATATAGCTCGAAAATTCACACCCCATGTCTCCTTCGTGTTCAAGTCATACCCGCTCTATCAAATAAACAGAAAGTTGGGTAACATGTTTATGCTTATACATATATCCAAGCAATATGCAGACAGTAATATCATGAAAAGGCATTCAATTTACCATGGTGTATGTCTTGCCCGATCCAGTCTGACCGTATGCGAAGATGCATACGTTGTAACCATCAAGTATGGACCTGATCAATGGTTGAATGTTTGTGTATACTTGTTCTGCACATATAGCAGAAGAACATGAATGATCACCTTTAGCTCAAGGTAGGAAACCTTTCATACTCTGGCATACATGGAATAGATTGTTCACATTAAATCGAAATCCGGATGAAGAAAAAAAATAGAAAATACCTTGGGAAGAACTTGGTCCAAACACTTTGTCAAATGAGAATACTTTTTTTGAATCTTTTCCTTTTCTTAAAGAATTGACAATGAGGATACTTCCATTTTCCCCAATATAGTCCATGGTTGATTGATCTTTCGATTCTCCCGGTAACAAGGGCCTTACTCTACAGTATATCCTTATTTTTCCTGCATGAAAAAAGCATGAGAAATAAGTGCACTGAATGTCGAGAGCATTCCAATTTAGCTTTTAATACCAATAATATAGACTATGCACCTTTGAGGTCTAATACTTCATTGAACAGCATTTGATTTTCTTGTAGGATCTTTAGGTAAGAAGACGAGGCGACTTCGAGATCGCTGACATGATGCTCTAAGGTAACAGGACAAGGTGATTCCAGTCAATGGAAAAAGTACTATTTTGATTGCAGCTGTAGTTTAATAACCCTTACCTAATCTTTTAATGTCTGCCTCCCAAGATGAATGAAACTTTCGAACTTCTAATCGTGTTTCACCGAAAAATAATTTAAGATCCTGAAAGTTTCCACAAAAGGAAGCTGCAGGTGATATGAACTAAAACTGGTACTATCTTGCAATTCTGTATAAAAGTTATGTAGTGTGGAGGGAGCTTTTCACCTCAATATGTCTCTGAATAAGATCGGAAAGTAATTCGACACGGCCGGGAGAGCGAGAAACACTATTGAGAATAACCTCATTGTTGCCAATACAGATTAAGGCTTTGGAGACATCAGTTGCTGCCTGCAGGTTGCTTCTTTTGTCGATATACTCTGAGGTAGCTTCTATGAAATCAGATTTAGACACTGGACCATCATCAGCTTTCAGCAATTTCTTCAAGAACAGTCCAAGCTGTAAATAAGGTAAAGATATCAGTATCATTACATTAAATCAGCATTGCAATTAATTTTATGCTCGAAAAGTAAGAATATGATGCCGACCTTGATTCCTTGAGAAACTAGAAGCGTCGAGAAGTCATTAACCACCTTGCTGAGGAAGGAATCAATCACCTACAAAGACTTGGTGAGTCATGCATATGATCATATGGAATCACATACAACAAGAGTACAAACCTATTGCTATTAAGAAATGTGAAGTGAAAATATGATAGATCTTACCTACCATTGCATTCAAGGGAAACTCTTCATCCATGTAATCTGTAAGATAAGCCTCGAGAATCCAAAGGCCGAAGCGATCGAAAAGGAAAGTTAGAGCATTGGTTGTTTTGGATTCTTCAACGGAGGCCTCGTTGGACAGCTGAATAAAGTCTCGTAGCTGCTCATATTTTGATAATTCCAATTCTTCCCTGGTTTCATCCGCAGGTCTTTCGATTGCAGAGCCAGTTAAGGCATGAGATAAATCGTTCGCGGAGGATTTGATCTTTACGGTTCCACCATATTTCCAGTCCCCAACTCCACCTGCTTTCTTCCACTCATGATATCCTTTCAGACACAGAATGCAATCAACCACTTTATTTATTGAGCCACCCTGCACATTTTAATCAAGGTTTATAGCTCTGGTGTAAAAGAGAATTACAGGTAAAGTGCCATTTTTTTACAAAATCGAAACCTTTTCCATATCTGATACTTCAAAGGCCAGGAGCTGCTTATCTTTAACTGCTGCTAGAAAGTTCCTCATGTTCTCGGAAACCTGATTCGTGACCTCTTCCGTTAATTGATTAGAAGTCATAGAAGTTTTCACCACCTACATGTATTGTATTTTCAAAAAGATCAAAGAATTACTATTCAGATTCTGATACCAAGTTCAAGGGAGAAATAGTACTTCTAGTTCATGCACAGTGTACCTTAGGAACAGCACCAGCACTGACTTTGTTGAGAACGTTGCAAAGAATGTACCCATTATAAAGTGCACGGCGTAATTCTTCGCCGGTGGGGTCTTTGGGAAGGAATTCTAATGCAACTTGATCCATCTGCCTTAGCCACTCTGCTGCTTGGTACCTCCTTGAAGCTGATCACCACAAAGCAATAATTTTAGCTACATTTTTCATCAAAACACTAACTGGTTGGTTGAAAGTACATGTTTCAATGACCAGTCCAAGTTGTAAGTGTGTTTTTCAGAGTTCAAACATGTGTTCTCACCCATGACTTGCTTGGCTTTATGAGGGGTTTTTTCCATATCAGCCAAGGCCTTGATGGAACTGACGCTAGGATTGGCACGCATCCATGGACCATACTTTGGCAACGAAGGATCGGGAATGGACATCACAGTGTCCTTGACACAATGAGCATCTACATGGCCAACGCAGCCACATTTGTAGCAGAAATCTGCTAAATGCTCATACTTGAAAGAGACCCAAATATTAGATTTTCCAGCTTTGGATGCCCAAAACCCTGAAGGGAGTGGCTTACTGACATCAATTAGTACCCGAATCCTGAAGAAACCCCTTCTTATTCCATGTGAAGAAATGGGATCCTCAATCTCCAACACCCTGCCAATCTGATCACCGACCTTTTTCGCATTCTTGGGGCTCATTTGGTCCAATGACAGGCCATGCACCTGTATCCAGTAAGCCACTTGTGAAAAATCCAGCTCTTCAAGAGTTAGCCCCGGTTGCCACCGGTGCAGACATATGCAATAGCCCATCACTGACCATGGCCCTTCCTCCAAGATTTGCTCAGCTGCCCTTGCTTCTTTGAAGGTGAACAAGTAGGTGTTTTCGGATAGTTCGGTAACGGTGAATTCTCTCCATTCTCCCCACACTCTCCTGAAAACACCTTGAACACCTCCTTTGCTTAGTGGCTTGTCTGCTATGATTTTCCCCACTAGAGCTAGCCTTCTTCCATCTAACTCCCCTGCCTCACTTTCATCAAGGGTCAAAATTTTCCCTTCTATCCAGGCCGTTTCCATAGCGTTATCGAATCAAAGAGGAATACGAGACCAAGATGAAGATGAAGAATGTGATCATAAATCCATCCACCATTGGTTGCAATGTCCATTGTTTTACACCAATAATGACATTTATAGAATTGGTAGCTCCATAATTCTCCAACCATAATGTTTCCTGTAATAAACACTAGCAATCTAGAACAACCAGAAGCTGACAGTCACTGAAGAATAAATGGTTTACGGACATCAACATTAAGGATTAAAATCACTAATCTTCCAATGGAAACAATTTGTTGATGACTTGGATTTTGTTATTTAATAGACATGGACAGACTTTAATAATTGCTATATACATATATTTTTAGGTTTTAAGGTACCCTGGTGGTTCAAGGATAGTTGTCACTTATCCTTTTATGGATAGATTTCCAATGGCCTACTTTGTTGGATTTTTCTCTTCTTTTTTTTCTTGAATTCGTTTTGTTCCTGGTTGGATATTCTGTGGAAAAAAAGGCATTTTCTCAGGCAAGAATGCCTTTGGTTCAACCTAAGGTGTCGACACCGTTTTTCGCCCAGGTGGGAAAATACCGATACCGACTCGGAGGGTTTCTCTTTGAAAATCGTTTCGAAAGGTGAGGAGTCGTCACCAATCATTTAAGGTGCGATTGGAACACCGTAAAAACCGGGTGATTTTAATAAAACATATTATTTTAATAAAATACCAAGTTTCGGGGTCTGCGAAAAATCCAGAAATCAGGTTCGGGAGTCGATTATGCGTGGGGAAGAATTAACACCCCACAAGCGCCAAAAAATTGGTACCTAGTTGATTACTCTATAATTAAAATCAGAAATTTTGAGTTCAATCTTTATTTAATTTAAAAATCATTAAGGATGCAAAGTTAAAAATGATATTCGTTTATTGAGACCGATAGCATTCGCCCCCGAGCGTAAATGCGGGAGATCAACTATTGTGCCTAATAATCGGACATTGCCTCGTTTTTAGAAAACATGATGCGGTTTTAAAAAGGATGTCGACCTATTTAGGGAATCACCAGTAGTCACCCCTGAGCGTGATCGCGGGAGATATACTACTAATTCCTTAAATAAGTGAACAGTGCCTTAGAGTTAAAATAAAATGCAATCAAACAAAATTTTATTCATCCTAATTAAACTAAAAGTAAATTAAAACTTTTTCTAGCTTAAAGTGTCAAATTATGAAAATTAAGGAACCTAGTGGCTCAAGTCTAAAAATGTAGGCTCTACTATTTATCCTATTTGATTTTAATTAATTATTGAGTCGAATAACCGAGATGGTCCCTCGAGCATTTACTCGAGAGTCATTTCGAATTATCCCTAAATTAAGAGTTAGTTTGAAATCTAAGCTAAAATGGAGGCTCTATTTAACTTATTTAATTATGTCAATATTAAAATCCTAATCGAAGGCGAGGGACTAAAAGGATCAAGGTCTAAAAACCTGAGTTCTAGAAGATTTAAAAGAATAAGGACCTAAAACGACAACTTCTAAAGTTAGGGGACTAATTAAAAATCTAATTAATCTAAGTTATTAAACTTAAAATTTTTTAGAAGATATTAATTATTAATTAATTTTAAAATTCGAACAATAAATTCGAGTAATCGGGCATCTATAGCGAAAACTCGACTCGAATTACTTCCTAATTAAAACTAGTATGACATCTTAATTTCTAAGCTTGATTCGAATATTAATTTAATCTAAATCTAAATAAATTAAACTAAAAATGAAACAATTAAAAAATAAAAATATAAAATATAAAAAACAGTAAAATAAAAACAACATAAAATAAATTCAAATAAACATAAAATATAAGGACATAATTGCATAAATATAAAATTACCAAGCCAAAAAGAACAAATTGAACATGCAAATGGGCTAAATTAAAATAAAGTAAAAATTAAAGCTAAAATTTGAAATAAAATAAAATAAGAATGACTAAAATGTAAGAAAATAAAAGTCAGTAATTAAATTAGAAATAAACAGTAACCAAAATGAAAAAAATTAAAATAACAATAGCTAAATCAGAAACTAACAGTGACTAAATTAAAATAAAACAAAAATAATAAAATTGCAACAAATTAGAAATGAAAGGTCCAGTGACCAGAATGTAAAAACCCGGTAAATTTTGGGGGACTAAAAAAGTGAATAAATTAAAAATATAAAGCATACACAGTAGAAAGGTAAAATACCAATTGTGGTCCCTATAGGTGACCAGAATGCAAAATGTGCGTAAATATAAGGGATTTAAAATGAAATTTACCTATAAAATCATTTTATGAATAACAAACGTATTGTTTTTTTTTATAATTTTCATTTGTTTTATTTTTTAGAGAGAGAGTACCACCCCTTTCTCTAGAATTTGGCTAGTCGTCGGTGGTTGTTGGCCACCAAATTTTCGGGACTTGCTCTTCTCGTCGCGGTGGTCACGGATTTGGGCTCCGTTTTGTCAGGGGATGCTCCGATCGTCTTTAAATAGCCAAATACCACTCGGCTTTCTCGGGCTCCGATCTGCGTCGTCCGCCATTGGATCAGGCCCAAATTCCAGTATGATGCTTCCCTTCTCGAGATGCTCCTTCTCACCGTTCAGATCGGCTAACTGACCCTCTGAACGTTGGCGAGGCTCTGGCAAAACGGTAAAATGCTCTTTTTCTTTTTTTTGTTATTTTTTTTGTTTTGAAAACTAATAAAAAACAAAAAAAATACTAAAAAACTTTGAACCTTTTTTACTGCTTTTTATTGATGAATCAAACCCCCCATATTACATTTTTTGTTCGGGTTTATATAGCCCGAATTGTACATTTTTTTCCAACTTTTTTTTCCAACATGTTTGAAATTGTTGGGTCCCTTTGTTGACTTGTGGCTTGTGGATGAAGCGGTGATAGTAGAGAAATCAGTGGGTAAGCTCCTTTTTGACTTTGAAAATTGGTGAATACAGCTGCCCCTCTTTGCTTGTTGTTGTGAAACAGGAATAAAGTAAAGACGTAAAACACCAATTTTCATCTGTTTGGTCAATCAGTGAAATTTTGAGTTCCAAGTTCTTCTGATCGGACGAGTTCTTCTCATTACGAACTCTTCGTTGGGGATGTCTATATACTTCCTTCTGTGATGAAATATAGCAAAAATGACAATATTGATCAACCTCCTTCTGTGATGGAATCGAACATAATGTCAGTGCTGATCTACCTCCTTCTGTGATAGAGTCGAGCGAAATGAAAATGTTGATCCCTCTCATTCTATGATGAAATCTAGCGAGATGTTGTTGCTGATATACCTCCTTCTGTGATAGATTTGAGTGAAATGACAATGTCGGTCCCCCTCATTCTGTGATATAATCGAACGAGATGATGGTACTGATCTATCTCTTTCTGTGATAGATTCGAGTGAAATGAAAATGTCGATCCCTCTCATTCTGTGATGGAATCGAACGAGATTCGGTGATGATCTACCTCCTTCTGTGATAGATTTGAGTGAAATGAAAATGTTGATCCACCTCATTCTGTGATGGAATCGAACGAGATATTGGTACTGATATATCTCCTTCTATGATAGAATCGAGCAAAAAGTTGATACTGATCCAACTCCTTATGCGCTGGATGAAAATGTCAATCTACCTCATTCTGTGATATATTTGAGTGAAATGAAAATATTGATTCCCCTCATTTTATGATGGAATCGAACGAGATATCGATGCTGATCTACCTCTTTCTGCGATAGATTCGAGCAAATAATTGAATAATCTCTTCATTATGAATTATCTACTGGAAATGTTGATCGATTTATCTTCTCTTTGAAGATTTTCAAACTTGTAAAAAATTATC